TGCTGCTTGGCCTGCTGTGTTCATCCAGCCCTGCACCTTGTTGTCTCGGATTCTCCAGCATCTGCAGTTCCTACTATCTCAGGAACAAATACCTACTGGGGCAGCAATACCTAAAACACTGCTGTGGTTGAGATCTCCTTGCTGTAATTTTGACAAGACCTACTGGAAATTTATCCTTTTAACATGGGAAAAGTCACAGGTTTTCATTTTACTAAAACTGTAGGAACTTTGATTTTAAGACATTGCTGAACATTTTTCAGGTACTTATGGGGTTGTTTATAAAGGGCGTCACAAAACGACTCAGCAGATAGTCGCCATGAAGAAAATCCGATTGGAGAGTGAAGAGGAAGGTGTTCCCAGCACTGCAATCAGAGAGATTTCCCTTTTAAAGGAACTACAGCACCCTAATATTGTATGGTGAGTGCATGGAGTTAATTTAAGGTGTGCACATATTTGTGTTTCGCTGAGTTTGCTTGAAATTAGAATAATGTTAAAACATCAGCAATAACTCTTGTAGACTGCAGTAAATATTTTAATTTACTGCATTTGGTGAGAATCCACATGAGGTTGAGCAGTTTGACAATTTTGCAGAATGTGAATGAGGCAATAATTGGCAGTTAATTAGTTACCTAAGTTGCTGCAGTTAATTGATCGAAAAGGTTTGTGAATCTTGGTGACTAAAGTTGCCATTTGTATTTAAAACTGTTCAAACTATGCTCTGCAATAGTCTCCCTCCCCTGTCTAATTTGCTGTTCCTTGTATCAATGAGCTGTACTTGGTCAATGCTACTTGTTTAATCAGAGTTACGTTCAGAGAAGGAATATTCATACAGTGATTTGCTAAATTTCTCTAGAGGGGTGCTGAATCAACAGTTGTTAAACTGAAGCCATATAGTCCAGACCAAGTAGAGACATCAGGCTTTGTTCCTTACTATATTATGGTGAATAGGCCATTTGAATAATGGCTATTTTCTACATTAAATGCACTATGATGATTGCAATTTAACTTAGTTTGGGTGCACTTTGATTTGGGAGGATCCTGATGTGGGTGATACAGAAATGATTTATATGCTAGGGGAAGGAATAATGCCACATTATTAAATTAAATATTGGCTCCTTTTTGATAATGTTTTAAAATATTTTCTAATCAACCTGTTCAGAGATGTTATTAAACCACTTTTGGAGGACGTGGGTCTTGAGCCCAGGCTTCCTGGCTCAGAGGTGAGAAACTAACATTGCACTACAAGGGCCCAATGCTGTTGTTGTTGTATTTGTAAGAAATTTAGTGGCATTAATCATCACTTACATGTTTTTCTTTTAGTGATTTTACAAAGCAGGTTTGAATGCATTAGGAGCAGAGGCTCTTGAGGGCCAAGTTGATGTGTTGTCTGGTGAGGAACGAGGTCATACAGATAAATGTTGCTCACTTGACTGCTGGGATCTTAACTGATAGTGACTTTGGTGTAGTGACAGTGAAAACTGCTAATGTTCTCAACTGCTAGTCATTCTGCTGTATTTTTGCCCAGAAAATTTGTTCCCCTGTGTAAATATAAATTATTTTATGGCACTATTCGAAGAAGAGAATAAAACCAGCCAGCATTCTGTCTAGGCTCCCAAAACTAGGGAGTTTCTGACATCTAAAGTAGAGTGCTTCAATCAAGTCTGTGTCTTTTGTAGAGAGGAGAGAAAATGTGAAGTTGGGATGCTAATTATGTAGCCAAGCAATTAATTCAGCTTTACCCTCTTCTTTAGTCTTCAAGATGTACTAATGCAAGATGCAAGGCTGTACCTTATATTTGAATTCCTTTCAATGGATCTGAAAAAGTATTTGGATTCTTTACCTACGCGCCAGATGATGGACCAAATGCTAGTAAAGGTATCTAAAACGTTATTTAACTGATAGCCTTCATTGGGTAGGGAGATTTGTATATCATTCTAGTGTTTTTATTTAATTTGAAGAATTGAAACTTTTTAAATAGACAAATTAGTGTCAAACTTTTCTAGAAGTTACTCTACACTTAAGCAAAATGCATTTATACCATGTGATGAATCTAGAAAACATTATTATAAATAGGGCATTAGTTTGGAAGAATAGAAGAGAATAAGGGAGGATTGAGACATTTCTAGAAGTTTTGGGTTAAATTGCAATGCATATTGAATTAGAAATTTTCATTGCCCTCTGCCTTCTCAACTTGTCAGTTTTCCTAATTCTCTGTTACAATGATAATTCGGGATTTGCTTGCTGTTCTTGCACTAACCTGTAACATCACCTTGAACCTGGCTGAACATTGTATTGGCCTGGACACTGCCAGACTTTCTGATGTTGCACCTTTACACACGTTCGAATAATATCAACTGTTTGACTGTGTCCGTTAACTCGGGGTCTGCGATAGTGTCCCTTCCTTATCTAGTTTGCTGTTGTATCAATGGGCGGTACTTGGTCATTGCTACTTGTTTAATCAGAATAACATTCAGAGAAGGAATAGTCATACAGTGACTTGCTAAATTTCTCTAGAGCGGGACTGAATCAGCAGTTATTAAATTGAAGCCACATGGTCCAGACCAAGTAAAGACATTAGGCTTCATTCCTTAAAGGACATTAATGAGTCTAGAGAGCTTACTCACAATGTTTATAGTTCCATGATTACTTTTACATAACAACTTTATTATTTTTGAATTTTTAATATTTACTTTTCGACTGCCAAAAAGGAGCTTGAGTTCTTTATTCTTAGTCTGGCTTTTGGATTTCTTGTCTAGTAATATAGTAGCTTGACTACTGTAATGGTTTTGTTCTGAGATTTTGCTGTATTGATTCGATACGGAGGTCGGTGCTTTACAATGGTTTAACTGAAGAGAGGCTTTTCTTTTTATTCCTCAAACACTGTTTATTTGTGTAGATACTAGCTGATATTTTGTCACCACCTGTAGTTTTTCTATCTGTCCACTTCTTTGGCTTAGCTAACTTGAGTTTAAATGAAAGTGCTATATCTTTTCCAGTGCAATATGGTTAATTCTAAACAGCTTTTGTTTTCAGGACTGAACACTTTTCTACTCAGTGTAAATGTTCTCAAACTCCAGATTGATGGGGGTTCTCATTGAAACTTACAGAATATGAGAGGCCTGGATAAAGTGGAAACGAGAATCTAGGACACGCGGGCCCGACCTCAAACTGAAGGGACAATCCTTCAGGACTTAAATGAAGAATTTTTCAGCCAGAGGGTAGTGAATCTGTGGAACTCATTGTTGCAGAAGGCTGTGGAGGCCAAGTCATTCTATCTATTTAAGACAGAGATAGGTAGATAAGTCCTTGATTGGTAAGGGGATTGAAGGTTCTGGGGAGAAGGCAGAACAGTGTTAAGAAACGTATCAGCTATGATCAAATGGTGGAGTAGACTTGATATGCTGAATGGCCTAATTCTGCTCCTGTATCTTAAGGTCTCCCAGTGCTTCTGTTTCTTGTAGTCTGCAGATAGAAACATGGACCTGAGAATGATCAGTTGCCATTTCTGCCACCTCCATTGGGATGCCAAATGCACTTTCCAGGTGAAGCAGTGCTTTACCTGCACTTCCCACAATCTGGTCTACCGCATTCGCTTCTCACAATGTGGTCTCCTCTACATTGGGGAAACTAAGCATAGACTGGGTGACCCCTTCGCAGAACACCTACATTCTATCTGTAGAAAGAGACCGTGAGCTTCTGGTTGCTTGTTGTTACACCACACCACCTTGTTCCCTGGCATATATCTGTCTGAGGTTTGCTGCAGTCCTCCAGCGAAGCTCAGTGGAAGTTGGAAGAACAGCATCTCATTTTCTGCTTGGGAACCCTACCGCCTTCTGAAGTCTACCAGTTTCAAGGCTTGAGGCGTCTTCTCCCATGTCCTACTCCAAACTCCACACGTCAGGCCTTGTTATCACATGGTCTGCTATTACACACAACCCATTGTTAGCAGCTAATAGTCCCTATTAGCAGCCATTCATTCTCTTAGGCTGCCTGTCATCAACTCCTTTCTGTCCAAGTGTTCTGTCTTTGGGCTGTATCTCCACCTATCATTTACTCCTTATCCTATCCCCTCACTCTGTCTTCTGCATAAAAAACTTTTTCCTAGCTACTGTTGGTTCTAAGGAAGGGTCACCGGACCTAAAACACAAACTCTGATTTCTCTCCTGAGATGCTGCCAGACCTGCTGAGCTTTTCCAGCAATTTGTTTTTGCTTGAGTAAGAAACAATAGTCTGTTTGACTGAAATGTTAGACATCTTTCACCTCTAGCAAGGGACTATAGTTTGTTTCCTTTATCAACTTTCCATGTGTTATTTACTAGACTTCTTGAGCTCCAAATGTCATTTATCCATGTATGTCTTTGCATGACTGCTATGTGTTTAATTAATTCATCTGTCGTGCTTAAACTTATTCTTTCCTAGGATCTCAATTCCCAAGTCTGCACACTTGTACAGTCTTGAGGCTTAGCTACTGCATCCTCCTTACTTGTCTTATTTTTCAAGTTTTATCCTGGATGATGGTGTGTGTTTGTTTTTCAAATGGGTGTAAAACGTTTTTAAAAGTGTAAATTTCTGCACCCTCACAACTAATGTATTTGCTCCAAAGTTTGGTTTATTAAAAAATGATAAGCAATGATTGATGTACAGATAATAGGTTAATGTTTTCTAATGTGTGTTAAAGATTAACTTTCACACTGCCCTCAACAGCACGTCTATTCTCCCTGAGCCCTTCCCATCAACTTTTAGTTTAAGCTCGTTTAGGTTCATGAGTGCATATTTCTTCCTTTGCATGCTAACATTCAAGCTATTGTCTGTATTCCTCCCTAGCCAGTTACTCTGCTACACAATCAGTTTTTAGGTAAAACCATAGTAGTCTTGTGTTTTGAACAAATCTTCTCCCAGGCGCACATGACCTATGACGATTGATGTGTTTTTCTTTTTCAGAGTTACCTGTACCAGATCACACAAGGGATTGCATTCTGTCACTCAAGGAGAGTTTTGCACAGAGACTTGAAGCCTCAGAATTTGCTGATTGACAGTAAAGGTGTAATTAAGTTGGCTGACTTTGGACTGGCTCGTGCCTTTGGTGTCCCTGTCAGAGTTTATACTCATGAGGTACATGTCCAGTTGCACAGTTTCTTTGTTCCAAGATATGAGTAAATGCAGTTTTAAAGGAAATGCAGTATACTGTTAGAATTGTTTTAATATTTGCTTTGCACCTGTTTTAAGGTTGGCAACTTTAAGTTTCAATAGAACATCCATTTTATTAGAATTCCTCTATAATTGGGCTGTCTGCCTTTTGGTACCATTGTAGGTCTCAGCTCTGAATCTTTCCCTGATCTTTGATATTCTTTCTCTACTCTTCACAGATGAAGGCACAGCTATTTGCAAACCAGTGTGATACAGATGGCATAATCTTTCGTGTAACTTAAAATGGGAGTATGTTGAACTCCAAATTTATGTTCATAGATGAGAATTGGAATCTGAAATGCTAGGGAGCCACATTCTCTAATAAGTAAAAACACAAAATACTGGACAAGATGAATAGAATTAAATGCTTCAGGTTGATGACCATTTACCAGAGCTCATACGTGGAGATGTACAGGTTTTAAGTGGAAGAGGGCTGGGCAAAAGCGAACAGGAAGGCCTGTCATCATGTAGAAGGCAGAAGAGATTATATAAGAAACCAGTAATAGTAAAGGGAAAAAAAACTGCTTTGACCCGATGCAGATGAAAAAAGCTTTTGTCCCTGTATGTCTCCCACTCTCATGAGATATCAATAATAGAAAATGTTCATGTTGAGACCAGAGGACTGGACAGTGCCTTGTCAAAAATAAACTCAAGGAACAGCATACCATCTTTCAGTGAGGCACTTCGCAACTTTCAGGACTCCGTATTGAGATCATTTATTTTGGGTCAGAACCATTGTTCCTTGATGGCAGCTGTTGTTGGTCTGATCTCCCCTTTCAATATCCCCTAGGTACTTTGTTTTATTTTATCCCAGTACCATCTCGCATTGCCTTCGGCTTTGTTATATTCCTAATAAATGAGGGAGGAATTCAGAGCCAGTCTTTACTTGGAATGGATTTATTCTAGAACATACATTACAGTTCAAAAACAAGTCTATTGGCTCCACTCTTATTCTCTTCTGGATATAGTCTTCCGCTGACATATTTAACAAGTATCAATATTTGGAGATTTAGTCTGTCCTGCTATCCACCAGATGCAAAGATCTTTCCTTTCCTGCATATGAAACTATTATGTTCGCAGTTCTGACAAAGGATTATGAACCAGAAATGTTCACACTTTTTTTTTCCTCACTTGGCAGATGCTGCCTAACCTGAATATTTTCAACATTTCTGTTAAGATTTCTAGCATTGCAGTACTTTGCCATTGCCAGCATTTTATTCTTTCCCAAGTAATGGTTTAAGGACACGTTAACAGTCATCTGTGTGTGCTGGTGATAGCCCTGTAGAAAATATCCATGTAAAAATGTGGTCTGAAGGTTCCATTTTGACACACTTCCAATTTTAAAACTATTGTCAGGAAATATTGTCATTGGTGCTGAATATTTTGTGAAGTGCCTTACTTTGACTAGGGTCTCCAGTAAATAATGAGAGTTTTACAAACCAGTGGATAATTGCATGTGCGACTTTGCTTTTAAAGGTTGTGACACTGTGGTACAGGGCACCTGAAGTACTTCTTGGTTCTGCCCGTTACTCCACACCAGTGGATATCTGGAGTATTGGCACGATATTTGCTGAAATGGCCACTAAGAGACCTCTCTTCCACGGAGACTCCGAGATTGATCAACTGTTCAGAATTTTCAGGTACAGCGAAACAAAAGCACAGTCTCTGTAATGAGGTGCAAGAAGATTTCTGCTTCTGTCCTTCCCTCTGATCTCTAGACTTGGTTATCCATGTTTTCCAAAGTTATTGTGAGGTGGAAGTGCCCCTTTCTATAATCAGGTGGGGGGGGAAACTGACAACATTGCAGCAGTTAGTTATACAGCACAGAAACAGGCTGTTTGGCCCATATCCCTCTAAACAACATGAGTATGCTGCATTTTTCTATGTTTAGTCTATGGAAGTGGAAAGTTATTATTTCACAATGCTTAAATCCTCTATGCTAAATAGTATTGTTCCAGAGTGAATCAATTTACCGACTTGATTCCATACTCCAGAAGGAACCTCCTTTGAATCGACATCTACGTTTAGATTCCTGTTTCGTAATCTTTGTTTGTTTGAAGTGGTTATGAACCAATTTTGAGGGATTCTCCAAAGTGAGAAGAGGATTCGATTGTGTTTTCTTGCTTTCTAAGATGCTGAGTGATCCATTATATTGTATCATGTAGCTCTCCGTCATTGAGTTAATTCACATGTTAACTTTCGTATTTGAAGAGTAGTAAGTGAAAATTTTATTTACCTTGTGCATCAATTTTAGTGGTGGGATAACAAGGAGTTTAGACCCTAAGGTGTCAGCAAGCTGATCAAAGAATCTGTAGTTTTGTGGGTTTTGATGAGGTGAATAGCTTATGCCATTTGAATCATTGAAAGCCTATGTAGTAAGGATTTGTCAGGTGGGTCTGTAAACCAGCTCTCAACTTCAGCTACTTCTGTGACCCTGCCTCCACGTTGGCAGTGAATATAAAGTCAAAGTAGCTTCTGTCTTTTTTAAAACCTTCCTGGGAGGTCGATCCTAGAGCCAGTTTAATCCCATTCAACCAACTTGTAGACAGAAGAGCAATGGAACTAGTAGCTTTTGACCTTTTTTGTTGGTGTTGTTACTACTTCAATGTGGCAATTACTTTGAAATGATGCCAGACTTCTGGGATTTATCCCAGTTCGAAGAGTTGAAGGGCCACGTATTGAGGTACTGAGAACATAGAACAGTACAGCACAGTACAGGCCCTTCGGCCCACATTGTTATGCCAAACTTTTACCCTAAACCTAAGGTCTATCTAACCTCCACCCCTACCTTATACTATCATCCATGTGCCTATCTAATAGCTGCTTAATGAGGCCGACTCCACTACCCTCTCCGGCAGCATTCCACGCCCCTACCACTCTGAGTAAAGAACCTACCTCTGACGTCTCCCCGATGTCTACCTCCTTTCATTTTAAAACTATGTCCCCTTGTAAAAGCTACCTCCACCCGAGGAAAAAGTCTCTGGCTGTCTACTCTATCTATACCTCTGATCATTTTGTACACCTCTATCAAGTCACATCTCATCCTTCGTCGTTCTAAAGAGAAAAGCCGTAGCACTCTCAACCTTTCCTCGTAAGACCTTCCCTCCATTCCAGGCAACATCCTGGTAAATCTCCTCTGCACCTTTTCCAACACATCCACATCTTTCCTGTAATGAGGTGACCAGAACTGGACACAATACTCCAGATGTGGCCAAACCAGGCTTTTGTATAGCTGGAGCATAACTTCACATCTCTTGAACTCAATCCCTCTATTAATGAAAGCTAACACACCATATGCCTTCTTAACAACTCTATCCACCTGGGTGGCAGCTCTCAGGGAACTGTGAACATTAACCCCAAGATCCCTCTGCTCCTCCACACTGCCAAGAATCTTTCCGTTAACCCTGTATTCTGCTTTCAAGTTTGTCCTTCCAAAATGAATCACCTCACTTTTCAGGGTTAAACTCCATCTGCCACTTCTCAGCTCAGCTCTGCATTCTATCAATGTCCCTTTGTAACCTAGAACAGCCCTCCGCACTGTCCACAACGTGACCCACCTTTGTATTGTCCGCCAACTTACTAATCCACCCTTCCACTCCTTCATCCAAATCATTTACAAAAATCACAAATAGAAGAGGGCCCAGAACAGATCCTTGTGGTATACCACTCGTAACTGAGCACCATGTTGAATATTTTCTGTCCACTACCACCCTTTATCTTCTAAGGGTCAGCCAATTCTGAATCCAATCTGCCACATTTCCCCCTGTCCCATGCCTCCTTACCTTCTGCATGAGCCTACCATGGGGAACCTTATCAAATGCCTTACTTAAATGTATGTATACCACATCCACTGCTCCACCTTCATCCACGTGTTTGGTCACCTCTTCAAAGAATTCAATAAGGTTTGTGAGGCATGATCTACCCCTCACAAATCCATGCTGACTATCACGAATCAAACTGTGCCTTTCCAAGTGATCATAAATGCGGTCTCTGAGCCCTTTCCAATAATTTGCCCACCACTGATGTGAGATTTTACTACTGTAATGTTAAAACTTGTCTTGCTTGCCTCCTAGGACTCTGGGTACACCGAATAATGAAATCTGGCCTGAGGTCGAGGCTTTGCCAGATTACAAGAACACCTTTCCCAAGTGGAAACCAGGCAGCTTGTCACAAGTGAAAAACATTGATGCAAATGGCCTTGACCTTCTTGCAGTAAGTGGATTTTACAAATACGTTCCCTGCTTATTCCACTATTTGTGATTAGGAAATGTGAATTAGTTCATTCTACATAACCGTCCCACTAGCTAGAACTTTAAATTCCCTGCCATAACTGTGTTTGAGCTATATTTATTTGTAGCCCTTTATTTATGTGCTCTCTGGTGATGTATTCAGATTTTAACAGTTCACTGCTACAGTCAGACGATTGGCACTAATTTGCAGCACATTTTCTGCATTGCCAAGAAAGCTTTCATTACACTGGCTTCTGTTAACTGGCTGTAACGTTTGTTCATGCTCCAATTATTTGGTGATTTGAAGCCAATTTGCATTGTGATGAGTAAGACTATGTAATGGCAGTAAAAGCAATTGAGAATAAAGTTTGTGCTGATGTAAACCTCATCAAGTATGAAATAGTACTATTTGAAAGAGTAACAAACAGCAAGTACATTGATATATTTAGGAATACCACCTGAACTTGACTGGAGTTGTTCTAAAGTGCAATGCACTTGTGAAATTGAGTTAACTATAAATAAAACAAGACAAACTCCTGTTTCATTGCACCTTCTGACTTGTAAGCATTTACTTGTTAGAAAATTTGAGCTTACAATATTTTTCGGCTTTGTCTGTTTATGACTAAGTTCACGTGTACCTGTTCAATTCTGTAACCAAGATGGTTTGCTACGCCTACTGAGAGAAATATCACCTGTGTAATGGAGTGTTTGTCTTTTACTAGAAAACCTTGATTTATGATCCTGCCAGAAGAATATCTGCAAAAGAAGCTTTGCGTCACCCGTATTTTGATGACTTGGATAAGTCTAGTCTCCCTGCCAATATCCAAAGGAATTAATAGCTTTTGAAAGGTGTGTCACCCTATTTGGCAGTGGGCCATCGCCAAATGCACCAAGACCACTTTTCTCTACCAACTTTTTAAAAAAAAAAAAAAAATTGAGCTACAACAATTTCTGTATTAAACCTCTAGATTTGTCTGTTCATATCTATGTATTTCTTTCTTTCTAACTGTACTATTGTGGCACAATACTGAATGATTTTGTACCTGTATAACTTGTAAATATAAATAAAGGCATAATGTACACCATATTGCTGATGGACTGGGTTTCTTTCTAATTGCCATTCTATATGTTAATGTTTCCATTCATCTTTGGTATGCAAGCATCACAAGTTAGGTCAGCATTAATTAATTCATCTTGAAGGTAGTGATGAGCTACTGTGACTGTGTGGTGTAAGTATGCAGTGCTGTTAAGGAGGGAGTTCCAGGATTCTGATGCAGTTGTTGGGAAATATTGCCATTTCTTTCAGTCAGGGTGGTGTGTGACTGGGATGGGATGTAGGTTGTGATGTATTTGCTGCCCTTGTCCTTTTAGGAAGCAGAAGTCACATGTTTGGCAGGTGAAGTTAAAGGGGTTTTGGTAAGTTGCTGTGGTGCATCTTGTTGATGATGCGTGGTGCATCTTGTTGATGATGCG